GCGTCCACCTCCCCTCGCATTGCGACTACTTGCTCTTGAAGATCAGTACGGTGGCGATCGAGCTTCATCTCCTCCTGCAATGATTTAATTCCAGCAAAGACAGTATCGAAAAACTCAATGAATAGCTGCGTGAAAGCCTCCTTGTTTTTCGTGTCACAGTACAAGCTCGCAAGCGTGTAGCCTATACAAACATAATCAATAAATGCTTGGTGAAAGAGGCTAGACGTAACGCTTCTCGATGCCATCAACGAATCCCACAACCTCCCACTCATCCATTTTACCCTCGACTCGCTTGAAGGTAAAATCGATGATGAGAGAGAGAATCTTATGAATGAGCATCACAATTTGGGGGTGCATTGTGACCACAAGACGAAAGCCATTCTTTGACATGGCAGTGTGAATGTAGCGCTCGCTCTTGGGAAGTTTCATTTCCCGATTGAGGTGGTAAAGAACACCTGTTCGATGTCAGTTCAATTTGGGTGATGTAACGACTGCATACCCTCCCATCCGAGCCCGTTCGGATGCTCTGCTTTCTTCTTTTCAATGATAAGCTGTCGAACCTTTCGAGTGTTGGTAAAGGCGGGACTACTCTCAGCAACACGTTTCCCATCATAAATACTTGAGGTGGACGGTGCTGAGGATCAACAATAAGCCAAATGTCCCACGAGTATAAAAAAGAAAAATTGCACACGAACCATCGAGCAACTTTTGAACTGTCAGCCCGTTAAGTCCGACCGCTTCAACTGCCGTACTGAGCTTGAATTTATCGTTTGCGCTCGGCTTGGCCCGGGGATGCATCGGATGGTTATGGGGATTACGCAAGATCACTATGGCTTTGTGAAGAGTTGTGGGTGACTGCTCGACCGGGACGTGAATAATCATCTTGCTCCCACATCGCCGACGCTGGAGTTTGGCGGGCCGGATTTCACCGTCAATGATATGACTGAATGCTGGACATATATCGTATCAGTAGGAACGAAATATTACATACGGCGTATGCAAGGTAAGACGTACGACAGTGGGTAAGTCCGATACGCGGATGCACAGTCAGGATGCAATTCGGATTCATTGTTGTTGGTGCCGTGGGTAACCGGCCGCCGTTTTCCATTACAAATCGAAGAACATCTTCATCGACGTTCGGAGGCATGGCCCAATAGAGATGATCACCCATTTCGGCAGATCGAGTCCATTGCGAGCACCCGACAAAGTAGTTTTTTCCATACGTAGACGGATTCTGCAACACAACCTTTTCAGAGGTGAAATGAGTTGGAGGTATACATTTACTGACCCTCAGTCGAACCAGAACCGGTGTTCCATCACATTGAATCTTGCACTTCGAATTTTTTATTCTATTGTAAAAACTTCACAGAATCAATGAATGACAGAAACTTCGGTGTGATTGAAAAACACTTACCGAGCGATAATATCCCACGGCGAAGCTGCTTCCGCTTCATTTTGATCCAGTTCATGAATCCATAGCTCTCGCATCGCCGCCTCATCGGCCTCGAACCTTTCAAGCCCGGCAAAAAGAGCGGGGTCGAGAAACTCGCATACATCAACCCCATTACATGTCAGATCGACCCGGCGACACAAGACTCCTTCCTTCAAATCAGGAAAGAAGCCGTAAACTATGACATCGCCTTTGGCATGTCCACTCGATCCGTCCCACGACTCTTGGTTCTGAGTGCGAACACGGAGGTCAGCATTGGCATACATAAAGTAAGTATGACTTACCTCTGCGCGTACAAATCTATCTACAGGGATGATTTTCCCACCCTTCATTAGCAGGTTGGATAGGCCCGAAAGATCAAGCAGGATGGCGGCGGAATTACGGGGGACATCAAATGTCGGGGGAACGGAGGTAAAGCGAATAATTTCGTCGACTTTGAGTTGGCGTGTGACGGAGATCTGAGCGGGTGCCACTTTGCCCTTTTTTCTTGTGATATTGGGAGCAAGAGAGTTGGAAGAGATATGGGCAGGGGGTATAATCAATGGATCATTCTCAACCTTGGGTTGAATTCGGGTGATTGAGTTGCCCGATTGCGCAGGGATCGCTGGGTCGCCGAGGGATTTGCCATTCTCCGAGTCCGAGTCGTATATTTCGATAACAGACATAGAGCTTGATGGACGAGAGGGTAGATCAGATTCATGGTTGGAAATAGGAGAATCAGACCGCGAGAAATCCGCAAATGAAGGGATATCTGATGTGGAATAGGATACTGGCGAACTGGCCCGTGAAGATGGCACAAAAGATACTCGGCTGCTAGCCCGAGATGGAGCCATTGAAATCGAGGAAGATGCACGAGAGGGTGCACGAGAGCTGTGTGGCGAAAATTCGTTGCGCAGATTTCGAGGTTCTGCATGGGTATCGATATATGCTTGAAATGCGTCAGGACCAATCCACTTTTCGGGATTTTCCAAACTGAAGAAGGGATGAGTTTGATATTCTTCGCCAAGTATCTGCGGAGATTTTTAGAGTTTATATATAATAGCACACCTGCCATAGAGTCAGAAGGACTTACATAATTGCGAAAGGCTTTGAGCTGCTTGGTCGATGCATCTTCAGGAGCCAAACGAGGTGTAGAGGCGACCAAATCTTCGTGCAAAACATGGAGTTGATACCCGGACGAAGTCATCCAGGATGCTGCAGTGTCCACAGAGAAAAAAGGGTCGTTATCGGGGTCACAGAGAGTAACGGTAAATGCCTATTAATTTAAATCGGTCATTACGAGCGGTATGGGATGAGATCGAATGAACCAACCCATTTGCGATAGGCTTTGATCTCGCCGGGTGAAAGCTCAGCGGCTTGCAGAAACATTAGAGGTATGGGGGGTCAATACACAGAAGAAAGATAGCCCCACCCTGAATGGCGCTGTGACACATATAATTTGAAATTCGGTGTTTTCCGCAGGCGAAAAAACAAATTGATGATACAGGGTTGATTGTTAAGTTGACGAGTTCAATTGATATTCTCCAATTCTCGGCCTCTCTCAAATTCATTTGCATACAGTGAGCTGTACATGTTACAATGGAGCAGTCCGGTGAAAACCCAAGGACATATAACTTACCGCAAACGTCGGACTTGCGTGCGATGACCGAAAGAGGCAACGGCTTGCCGGATCAATATTGATGCGCGGCAGGTCACAATCAATTGTTGCGAAACAAGCGACTTGAAGCGAGTCGCACTGTTGATACTATTTCGCCCAATGGGTCTGGATTTGCACAATGGGTCTGGATTTTCGATTTTTCTCTTTCCTCCCTTCCTCTTTGCCCTCGGAATTTTTCGGAATGACTATCTGTAGTAGTCCTCTATGAGTATCCCAGATATCTAAGGGATCCGGCGAAGGGAAGGTGTCGAGAAAGCCTTGCTAAGACATCAAAATTGATGACATTTTGTGATGTTTTCAAGTTGTCCAGTTTCTAGTTTCCTCATTTGCCCTAAACACTAGGAAAAATTTGAGCGACACTATATATTATGCATAACATGTTTTGTTCCCTCAAAACCTTTCACCGGTACGAATTCGTGGCGCATTGGAGGAAAAGTGTTGAGGTGTGACACATGTGACCTGATGTAGCTGCCGACACTTTCCTCCAATGTGCCACGAACACGCATCTGTAGAAATTTCTGAATATACCAAGGAAGCCATGCATGGTATAAAGTGTCGCTAAAATTTTCCCGGGTGTTTAGGGCAAAAGAGGAAGCTAGAAACTGGACAACTTGAACAGATCACAAAACGTCATCAAGTTTGATGTCTTAGCAAGGCTTTCTCGACACTTTCCCTTCGCCGGATCCCTTAGAAATTTGATACACTCATAGAGGACTACTACAGGTATTCATTCCGAAAAAATCCGGGAGCAAAGCGGAAGGGAGGCAGGAGAAAAATCGGAAATCCAGACCCATTGTGCAAATCCAGACCCATTGGGCGAAATAGTAGTCGCTGAGTCCCACTGACAGCGCCGAGTCCCACTGTCGAGACGATGAACAGTGGGACTCGCTGACCGACAGTGGGAGTGGGCCAGTCCCACTCCCATCCTTTTGGTCATTCCTCGCTTTCATCCACATTTTTCGGATTCCGTGCCTGGGCCAGATAACTTGAAGCAATTCAACTCATAGGATAGGATAGGTACCGACACAAGGTCCCGGATCGGAACGGCCGGTGAGCGTACTACATACACAAGGCGTCCCATGTATGCTACGGATGTACCAACTAATCTCCACTGTTATGAACTAGCCCGCGTCGAATCTGTTCCTTTCCCGGCCCATGCGACAATCATCAACCTTCCTTTAATAATTGCCAGAATAGCACTACAACGGCGATTAGGGGCCCTCAATTCTCAGGTCAGTTCGGTCAGGTCACTTTTTTAAATGAAATATTACAAATCACTGACTGATCACATCAAATTCGTGCAAAATTGAATTCAGACTACGCAACTGAATGCATGTAGATAATCATGGCGATAGACACGAACGGAAAAAAGGGCTCTTGAGAGAAGGAGAAGGGCAGAAAGTCCCAGCGTGATTCCATCAGACGCTCGGATCAATGGATTTGTTTTATTTCGAAAGTGACCTGACCGAACTGACCTGAGAATTGAGGGCCTCTATTGGAAACAAACAAGAAATGTGTAGAAAAAAAGCAAACACGAAATGACATGCACCGATGGGGAATCGAACCCATTCACCATCAAATGGTTAGAGCCCACAACAAAGCAGTGCGTCGACCGATGCTCTATCACACCATTGAATTCGGTCTCACCCGAAATGACATACATGATGCACATTTGATTTCGAAATAAATAGTACTATGATTTCGAGACTTCGTACAGCCGATGCTTGCATTTCGATGCTTCAAATCGACGTCAACGCCGTGTTGCCTCTCCTGACCGAATCCTCCGGAAAAAAACCTGTGAGGAGTCGGAAGAAGACTTGAAGAAGAAGACGACTTCCACTTTCGAAGACAAGAGTGTGACAGGAAAAAGGAACACAACTGGCTGAAGACACATGCACCGGCGGGGAATCGAACCCCGTTCACCATAAATACATCCATTCCTATTTACAATAGTGGCGCGTGCACCATGCACAACCGGTGCTCGTGCCTTTAGTTTGAGCCCACGTCGTGCCCCTTGCTTTGAGCCCAGACTGAAAGAGGGAAAAATTGAGAGAAGAGTGGGACATAGAAGATGAATACAAAAGGATACATATCATGTGCACATGCACCAGCAGGGAATCGAACCCCGACTCGCCGCTTGACATCTTCATGTGTGATCTCATCAGCGCGTGTACCCTTACACCAACCAGTGCATGCTTGGCCCACATCCAAGTCTCCTTGCATGCCAGACTTTCACAGAGGAGCCTCAACTGATTTTCTGAGATCTAGATTCCACTGGGGGGAATCAAACCCCATTCACCGTGAATTACGCCGTTTTGCACTATGAAAGCTGTGTGTGCACCATGCATTATCGAGGTGTCGCATTTGACCATTCGCACCGTATCGTGTCGCATCGGCGACCGGCAGCTTCTCGTCCTATCGTAGAGCTCGCCCGCGCCGCTGGTACATCACGATGTGTCGCATAACCGTTTCTCGTGGGCGAGATTGATGAGATTCGGGGGAGAAGTGTAAACGCACCAGCAAGCAGGAAGAGAAAATGAGGGACAATAAAAAAGGAAACTTGAAGTAAGGGAATGAACTGACATACGGGGAGCAGGGACGGCCACGAGAGATCAGACCGACGGTGCTCTGCATGCACAAACAGAACAACATGAAATTGACGTGGAAGGCCCTGGGGCGAAGCTTATGGAATCGTGAACGCGACCGAAAGAAAGGCCATCTTGAAGGCGCGTGCCGCCCAATGTCGGGAGATGGCTCGCAGCGGCTCGCACGGGAACCCGGAAGCGTTACTGCGTAGTGGAGGGAGAACGTCGAGACCGCTGAAGACGACAGGATCCCAGCGTAGGAGGGCATGCCTGTTTCGTGGCCGAGAGGATGGGGGGGCTTGGGCGGGGCTGCTGGTGGCGGAGAGGTGCTGGAGGACGTGGCGACGGTGGTGGTCGGTTACAAGAGTATATTTGGTTGTGTTGATTTGGAAGGCTGCCTTCCTTCCACATAACGGCTGCGGCCTTTCGCACACCACTCGCGCATCGCCAGACGGCGCTCGGTTTTGGCAAGCAAATCGATCAACCCCGTCGGACGTCGATGTCGACGACTTCAGGACAACCGTCGACCACGGCACGTCAAAATCGCCCCGCAACCTCGACATCGACAGGCGCGCCATAGTCGCCTTCTCCGCCGTCGGGCCTCTGCGCGAAGAAACATCAGAAGAATTCCTCGTCTCTTCGCCATGGACGCGACTTTGCACACGTCGATCGCCGCGCTGCACACCCTCTTCCCCACAACGCCCATCGTCACCAGCTACCACACCACGCTCCCCACCTATGCGACCGTCTTTGGAAGGCCGTACTACCACTTTCGCACCTCCTCACCTTTTGTGCGCTATACACTCGTGCAGAGCCGCATCACCGCGAGTCTGTTGAAGGAGAAGGGGTTTGCGAATCTGGGGTTTTGGGTGCGGCGTGGCCATGGATGACGCCATTCATGTGCGTCGTTTTTATTCCTCAAATTGCTGATTGCTAATTGCGACGCGACGCGACGCAGCAGGCCTTCCGCTCGTCCCCCGTGGGTCATCCTCCCCAACGACGTCGCCATCCTTCGTGCACGCGTACCGCCCTCGTCGCGTCCCTCGCGGCCAATGCGTCCCTCCCTTCTGTCGACGCTCCAGGCACACCTCGCACTGGCACGCACCTCGTCTTCGGCGGCGACGGCACCTTCCGCGCCGCGCCGCGCTCCAAGCTCTCTGCACCGCGCGCGACGCCCCCACGCTCTTCACGCGCCGTGCGCTCAGCGAGACGCTTGCGAGCGCGCTCTTATGAGATGAGCGCTGCGCCTTCTCTTACCTTTCTGTTGTCTTTGACGTTTTTTGGTTTTTGTGGAAAGCGCGTTCTTCGGTCGCCGAGCCGCGTCGAGCGTGCGGGGATTACGCTTATACTCATGCTTTCACCCCCTTTCCCCCTCCTCCTTTCTCCCTTTCTCCCTCCACCAAACCGACCCCCGTTACTCATTATTTCCCTTCCTTGCTGTTCCTCCTTTGCTTTCCTTGCCTTTTCTTTGCGTTCTTTTGTTTGGAAGGAGCGCGAATGGTCGGGGAGCCAAGCCGCGTCGAGTCTTCGGGTAGCAAGGATGAGGGAACGATGCTGCGCTCCTCTTCTCTGAGAATCCCTCCGAGTCCCCAACCTACATTGTGTTGTAACTGTTTTTTTTTGTTCCTTTCCTTTCTTTTGCGTCACGCTTCCCTTCGCGCTCGCTTCACCCTCTTTTCCCCCTCCGTTCGATTTATGTTGCGTTCGATGCGTTGCACTGCGTTCGTTGAGCTTTGGGGCTTCGTTTTTGTCATGTATTCCTAAACTCTTTCGCATTCGATTCTTCGGGGTTTTTTTGCGGGGCTTGTTGGCGTTCAATTTTCTTGCGTTGCGTTCGAGCTCCCCATATTGTTCGGTGTTACATTCGACTCATCGTTTTTTGTTTTCTTTGGCAGCGGATTTGATTCGGGTTCGCTTTCTTTTCGGCTCGTTTTTGTTGCATTGATTGCAGTGTACGATGGGCTGCGTTGTGTTTGGGGTACGTTCGGTGTTCGGCCTCCCCATTTTGCATTGTGATCCCTCACTTTTCTTTTTCTTGTCGTCGTTCCGCCTTCGGACCCACTTTTCCTTGCAGTTTCTGGGCTGGTATTCAGCTTATTTTCGATCTCCCATTTGATTTTCTTTCCTTGTTATTTGCTTCCATTCACAACCTACTAACACACACGCATAGGCCTCCTCCTGTGAGTCAGCGCTCGTACACCGATACGAAAGAAGTAGGTAATAAATTGGAATAATAAAAGTAAAAGAACAAGGGAACATTACGAGAACGAAAGAAAGCACAAGAAAACAAACAAAAGAACGCACGCTACGCATCGTATACACCGAGGGACGTCTTGAAGGCCTGCTTGGCCGTGCACGCGAGTCAAGTCTGCACGGTGAGGCGGAAGACGCCGCAGCTGCGAGGAATTATCGCTGCGTTCGCGTTCGGAGAGTCAAGGAGTACGATATGCGCTGGAAGCTAGCATGCACGTGCAGTTCGCCAGTGCCATTGGTGGGTGTGGACCTGCGAGTGTGATGTAAGCGAGCGAACAGGAGCCGGGTGGGAAGAGAGAGAAAAATCCACCGGAAAAAAGCGCTCTCGCTAACCCTAACCCCAACGGGCGCTAAAGCGGGCGTCTACGGGGAGACGACGATACCGATACCGCAGGCTGCCGAGGGGTGGAGGCGCCAGCTGCGCGCTGCTCCTTTCCCTGCTCCTCCCCCGCCGCATCCGTTCTTCCTTTCCCGCTCGCCAAGCGTCCAACACCGGCATCTCCCCTTCATCGACGTGTCTGCGCTCCCGCACCATGCATTTCCTACTTGCTTGTCTCCCCGCCCCACCCACGTGCAGGCCGACCACTCCCGCTCTCGCCCCCTCCGCCGCCCTCTCCCCTCTCTCCACATGAATGGAAGAAAGAGCGTCCCACGAGAGGCGGCGGCGGCGGTCAGTGGGTTAACGAAGGGAGGGCGAGTGGAGAGGGAGAGTGAGGAGAGCGAGCGACGGGACGGGTGAGGAGGGGAGACGGAAGGGGAAGGACGGAAGAGCGGGGAGATGGAGAGGGCAGTGTGAGGCTCAAGGGGTATGCACCGGCAAATGCCGAGACACCGGCTGGGGGTAGGGGGGTCTCGAAGGGCTCTTATTCCACTTTTCCGACCAAGGTTCAAAATGGTCTGAAAACACGTTTTGGATGATTTTTTCAAAAAATGTGAAAATATTTATATATTCACGTGATCATCAACCTCGGGCCGCCCACCAGGCGACCTAAAATGTTGGTGGGACAAGGTGCCAAAGAGATAGAAGTTGTTAGGTTTCAATTCATCCACAAGAAATATGAATGTGCCCAGCTGTAGAGGTCAAGTAGAGGTACAGGACTAGAAAAAGTTTATTGATCGGCCGACGGGATTACCGGATTTGGAAGTGGCTGTGCTCGGCTAAGGGGGGTAGGTAGGTCGAAGGGCCTTAATCCACTTTTCCGACCCAGTGGTCGAAATTTTAATCTCGCTTACCCCTTGGTGAGGCTTCGACGCGCGTTTGGACGTCGAAGGCGTGCTCGCGGTAGGTGCGGGGGTGCTCTTCACGATGAGCGAAGACGTGCTCGTCGCGGTGGGCGCGGGCCTGCTCATTGCGGTGGGCGTGGCCTTCGTCGTCGCGGTGGGTGGGCTTGCTCGTTATGGCGCGCGTGGGCTTGCTCCTTACGGTGAGCGGGCTTGATCGCGGTGAGCGCGGGCTTGCTCCTTGCGCTGGGCGTGGGCGAAGGCCTGTTTGTCACGGAACGTACAAGCGTGCTCCCCGCGGCAAGCACAGGCTTGTGCGGGCTTGCTCCTTGTTGCGCGTGCGGTGCGGGGTCGATACAGCATGAGACAGCAGCGGCGGGGGTGTGGAGAACGCCGTGCTGCCCGCTGCACACCACCGCTGCTTCAGCGAGCGCGATCGCGAGCGGGACCATCGCAGGTCGTGCCGCTGCGTTCTTCAGCGGCGCGGCGCGGCCGGCGTTGGCGATGCGGGGTCGATACCGAGCAGCGGGTGGGGGTGTGGAAACGCCTGCGCCCACCGCCGCTTACCGCTTTGCTTGTACTTGTGTTTGTGTGCTGCCCTCACGCCAAGCCGCGCCCACGCCCACGCCCGCGACGCTCTCCTTTTGTTCTGTGCGCTCGCCGTTGGGAGTGCGGAGCACGGAGCGTGCACCGGTGCCTCGACGTGTCACGGTGCGGAGCGTGGAGCACGAGGGCCGGCTATTTGACGACGAGGCGGAGGAGGGGAGGTCTGGGTAGAGGTCAGCGGTGCACGGTGTAATTAAGATGAAGTGTAGGGGACTTCTCTTGGCAACAACCACCACGTGCCCTCTTTGATCGACGACTCAAAAACTTTTGAGGCGGGCGACTGAGCACGTAGTGGCCTTAGCTTCATTCTTACATACTCCTACAATAAAAGGCTTGCATGTTCAAGCCAACTGTCAGCTCCCTGGCAAAAAACGGGGGAAATCCCCCGGGTAAACGTGCAGATTCAGCACCACGCACACGCAGCGCGCCCGACGCGCAATCCAGCATGCACGAAGGATTAACCCGCGAAGAACTATACGCCAAGGGCGACATCGCGTGGAACGACGACGGAGTATACGGCGCGCGTA